TCCCAGTTTCACCTCTTCTTCAGTCACTTATTCTCGCCTCCACTTTCCAGCAGCATTATTCAGACAGAGGCTCTGCTGCCATACAGCCTGTCGCTGCCACACGCTTGAGTAGACACAGTAACACAACTTAGCATTTGCTCACTTTTACACACAAAGGGATGGGTTTCTGTTGCATTTCACAGATGATGCACAGTACAAAACGTTCTCATTATTACAGCAGACAAACACACACACACAACCAGTTTGCTGCTGCTCCCTGGCTCTGCTCAGCTGTGTGCGGCGTTGGAAAGCATCCAAAGGCTTGTAACAATATTTTGCAAGCTATCTGAGGGTGGGGGTGTCGTTTCAAGAAAATTCCCAGTAAATGTAAGCTTGCTGAGTCACATGGAAAGTCCTGTTCTATCTGTTCTTTATGGTGTGGAGTTTACAGGTGTGTGTGTGTGTCTGTGTGTGTGACTGTATAAACTTTACTTAGTTTACTAAAAGAAAACAAGTCAAGTAGAAAATGCTGTCACAGTTTATACCAGTGCGTCCCGTAACCTCCTTTGGACCTGGTGAATCTTCTGGTCTTCTCACTGCCTCACAGAGAGGCAGTGATGAAGTTACTCTAATACTGTTAGTGACGTTTACACCACTGAATGAATTTTGTCATGTCTTTAAAGGTGTTTTGTGAAATGATGATCCCACATAGTATCATAACCTCACAACCTTTCTAGTTCCCCTCACACTTAACATTCAGGCACAGAGTATTCAGCACCTAAACAATTCGCTTAGAAGGTATCTCTGTTACACAAGCCATAGGTGAGATAATATTTCACCATAACTGTTAAATGTAGGCTAACTACTCTGTGTGTAAGTTTGCCAGATCAACTTTATTAGACAAATTGAATCAATTAAAATATATATAATACATATTAAATATGTTGAAAGCTATTATGGTGTCCATTTGTTTGCTAACAGGCATATAGTTTGGTCAGCCTTTGTTTCTGTATAAAACATGAAGGTAGCCACTGTCACCTGTTTGTGAGCCCTGTTTTGAAGCCTGACAGGATGGCTTTATGGCCACCGCATGAAGTCAGAAGTGACTGCATTTAATCAAGATGACTGAATGCTAAGTTATTGTTTAATGCTAACTAGCTTGGTTAGCAAGTTGCAGTTTGTGCTAATTCATGCTAGCTAACTTACTTATTGGAAAAAAATCACTCAACATTCAGCACACACTTCTTTGACAGTCTGTTAGAACAATTAAGAGCATTCTGAGCCATTTAATTTTACAAATAGATACATAAAAACACTAAGTGCAAATAGCCTACGCAAGAAAAGGAGTTCAGTTATGTGAATTAGCATATTCAAAGCCTAGCTAACAGGTACAGACTACAGACAGGTGTCAGCATGTACCTGCCAGTCAAAGCACCCGCACTTGTAATATTGTGTATCATTTGGTTTTTAATAGACATGCCGCCCAAAACACCTCCCTCTTAGGGGTTGTTATGCTCAAACCATTTTTTTGAGCCAGGCTCTAAATTTGGGCATTTTTATATGGAAGTTTATGACGATTGATCAAGCCCCACCGGCTAAAAACTCTAAATCCCAAACTCTTGTTACAGGAACTTTACTTCCTCTAGTGGCCACGTGAGGCTGGATCCAAAAGTGTGGCATTCCCTAAAAGTTAACATTTTAAAAATAAAAACTTTACAGCATTAAAAAGTGTAGAGAAGAGTTTTTATGTAACTCTTCCACCTGGATATTAGACTTAGGGGCATAGCCACTTTTGACTGATGGATGCAGGCTGCTGGAGCTGATTGGGATCTGCTAATTGGGGTCAAAGAAGTTAACCTCTCTGCCATGTTTTTGCTGTTGGTGACATTTGAAGCATTTTAATGGATTAGCCTAACAATAATACAACATGCAATGTGGCTAAGGCCATTCAAGAAGCTTGCGCTTCAAATTTGATGAGTGATGAGATTCTAGCATTTTTTTAGCCAATTACTTCATTACCTACACTAATTAGCCGCTATGTCTATGCATTGCACCTGAACAGGCTGCAGCTTGCTAAGGAAGCTTAGCACTCCACTCCTGTCATCCATGGCTTCCAGCCCCCAAAACAAAGTGTGACAAAATATAAATAAATAAATGCTACTGCTGATGCTTTAAAATCTAGTGGCTGCATCCACTTTCTATGGGATTATACCACTTTTGGAGCCAGCCCAAATAACCACTGGAGAAACATCAGTCTTTCCAGCTCGATTCGATTTAGTGTTTTGTGTTTTAGATGGTGACTCCTTAAAGTTTGTACAAATTTCACAATTACAATAACAGACTGCATATAAAGGCAGGAAGTATGTGTGTATACTGTATGAAGTACAGTTCAAAGGCACCGTCACTAGTATGTGTACCAGTGAGGACAAAGTGCTGGTTTGTGTTGTGTGGGTGTGTGTGTGTGTGTGTGTATGGCCATGGCTGTTTGTCTTTTTCATGTGCATTCATGCACTATGTTTGTGTGTGTGCGTGCGACAGAGCACAAACAGAGAAAGCTGAGCTTTGCAGGGCATCTCTTGTATAATAACTGAACGCTTAAGTGAGGCTGGGTGAATTTTAATAGAGTTCTGCGGGGTATTCCATTGCCTCTGGTCCCACAGCTCAGAGATCAGAGAGAATTTTCAAGCATGGTGTCCCTCAGTCTCTCACACTCACTCCTTCTCATTTTCGCTCCCTTCCTCCCTTTCTCTTCGTCGTCTCTTCCCATTTTGCACTCTCCCTCTTTTCTCATTTTGAACTCTCTTTTCCAATCCGTTCCTTCCTCTTGGGCTTTTGTCTTTCTCTTAATCCCTTTCTGTGTCTCACACTTTCTGTTGTTTTTCTTTCCCCACTCTGTCTCCCTGTGAAATTTGTATTAGAGCCACTCGAGGCGTAATTATTGCTAAGCCTCTCTCAGTTCCCTGGCACAGAGAACAACTCATGACTCTCTGCACAAAAACTTGCTACTGAAGGACGAACTGTGATGAACTCTTAAAATCATGCACAATAGCTGACAAAATGTTTGGATAGTTTTCCCATGCACAGAGATTATACAGCAGAAAGCTAATTTTCCCGTTGCCTCAAAGCCATTTAAGGACTTTAATCCTCTTTTTAAACTCATATCTAAGTTCTACTAGCTCAAAATTTATGGAGGGTGCTATACATTTATAATTCAGATGATGCATTTACATATGTTCTACCCCTGTTGGAGCTCCAGGCCACACACGTGGGCATCAGAGCAACCTACAAGTTGATCTAGTGGTTCCCTGAAGGCCAGATTTTGCTAAGAATTTTTAAAAATAAAGCTATGAAAGAAATATACAGATGAAAACAGGAGGGTAAGCCACATCTGCTTTGGCAATAAAGACAATGAAATTAAAAGACTAGAGTTAGTAAAAAGTCGTGAATGGTGGCTGTGATTTCTCATTAGTGTCATTTGTGAGCATGTTGGAGTGAGAAAGTTGGCAAGAGATTGGTGATGATTACTAATTCATTAGGATTAATGGTTGCTATTTAAAAACTACCATTCTGAGGAGAGCCGAACGAGCGTTGTGTCTTCCCAATGGGACCATGAGACAAAATATGCCTCCAGCTAATCTCTGCTTGAAAACGGCTCATAAAAATTCAACAATTTGGCACTAGGAAAAAAGTAGCTGTAGCTGAAGTTATTTATGAGCCTATGATAACTAAATAAGCTGTTTCTGAATAACAACTTGATCATGTTTTCTAAAGGACAGGCAGGTATCTTGAGTCTTTATGTGTGAGAGGTGCCAGTGGGAGCTATACCTGCTGTAGATTTCTTCACACAGTACTGTGCAAAAACCCCTCGTTTCTTTATATTTGCTTGGAAAATGGGAAACAGGTTCGGGGATTTATTGAAATATGTGCAACCATAAATGGAAATAGAGCACATAAGTCAAAAACCAAGCTTGAAAGTCAATATTTGGTATGACCATCTTTATTCTTCAACAAAGCCTGAACTCTTTTATCCAAGTTTTCCTTTAATTTCTTTAAGTAGTCTTCAGGAATGTTTCACCAGGCTCCTCGAAGAACATGCAATGTTCTTCTCTGGATGTTGGCTGCCTTTTGTTCATTTCTCTGTCAAGATGATCCCACACTGCTTCAGTAATGTTGAGGCTCTGGGGAGGCCAATCCACTGTGTGTTTTTCTGTCCAGGTATGCTTTTAATGTATTGAACGTGTGTTTGGGATCATTGTCATGCTGAAAAAGGAATCTGTGGATCAAAATCTGATGGTACTTATCTATGTTCATTTTGACAAGATTCCCGATATCAGCGATGGAAAAGCAGTCTCAAACCACGACAGAGTCTCCACTGTGTTTTACAGATGGCTTTAGATTCTTGCTGTTGTATCTCTCTGTCCGATGATTTGAACCAAAGGTTTCAAGCTTGGATTCATCGTTCCACAAGTATTGGTACTTATTTGGTATTTGGCATACCTCAGCCTTTTCTCTCTGCGTCGCTTCCTTAAGAATGGCTTCCAGTCAGCCTCCCTTCCACTGACACATATCTGATGAGGCTTCAGTGAACAGTAGATGGATCACCTGGAGAGCCAGATGCATCTCTCAGGTCCTGTGTCTTTGTTGGATTCCTTCCTATTTCTTAAGGATATGACTTTCAGATTTCATTCATCTGCTGTAGATAGCTTTTTACACACACTTCTTTGTCCAGTTTCCTCATATTTTGTAATGTAAGATATAAGACTTTAGATAGTAGCTCTTTGGGAATTACCTTGTTGTTGCAAAAATACTGTTTTATGTCTGTCAAACTGTGTTAAATTCAGAATCTTTGGTAGATTCAACTAAAGAAATGGGAGCAAATGATGTTTTGCTAAAAATCTGTTAAATTGGTTCCTTGCGAAGTTATTTGTTAGGTCAGTAATAAGTGGCCCAGTCTTTGGTCAGGCACAAAGACTGCACTAAAAATGAGTGAACAACAGATAAATAACTGAAGACCTTCAGAAAGCCACTCGAGACCACTTGTCTGGCTCTTTGGAAACAAAATAAGGAAATGACAGGTGGCTCAAGAGTTTTGCACAGTAAGTAGAATCCAAACGTTTTGTTCAGTTATGACTGATTCAACTGGAACCAGTGCTGTACCATTATGGTTAATGAGTCTTAATTCCAAGTCACTGTAGTATTACAAAAGAGCAGTGCTATGCACAGTAACACCACCTGTAGTGGAATATACTAACCAATCCATTTTCTTAATTACTTATCTGGGGCCTATCCCAGCTGTGACAGGTCATGAGGTACAGCGCACCCTGGAAAAGTTAAATACAGAGCCAACAGAGACAGACAGACAGTCATCCCCCAAATTAAACACGACACAGAATTAATGCTAATGGCACTGGAGGTGTAAATCAGCAAATGTTTTCTTACAAGTTCATCTACTTAAAAGGTGGTCGATTGTGTTCACAGCTGGTTTCTGCTGCCCCCAAGTGTCCATGGGCATCACCTACTGCAGGTTTAAAGGCTTAAAGAATCACTGTCCTCTTCCCACTTGTTTAATGGGGCTGCAAAGTTACACTTCTTCACTTCTTTTTTTCTAAACGTAGACCATAACGTCCCCTGTACTGAATACATAAAACCATATACGCAAACAAAGTATCCCCACGCGACATAATTCAGCCTGTCTTTATATAATTAACATTATTTTTTTAAAATCAAAGGGAAATGTTTCACTGTCCTATGCAAAAGCCTTTTGATTTCTCTTGTCTGTCATGAATGTAAGACTGCTACCTGTTCAGGGTTCATGTCTGACACACACCTGTGGCCTACAGGACAGGAATTGAGGGAGTGGCTGTGGCTCAGGAGGTAGAGCGGGTCATCTACTGATGGGAATATTGATGGTTTGTTCACTGTATGTGTATGAATGTCAGAGGATAAAGTGCTTGTATGAATGGGTGAATGGGCCTCACAGTAGAAAGCAATCTGAGTGCTCAGAGTAGAAAAGCACAATAGAAGCGCTGCTTCGTTTACAAAGATGATACAACAGGATGTTAGGCACAATAAGCAAGATGGTTCGTATTTCTAGCATCTGCGCCTCAGCCTGTGTCATTCTCTGCTGCCCTCATGTGGCCTGGTCCCAAGTGTGCAGCAGTTAAAGGATGTCAGTTCTCAAAGTAAAGACGTCAGTATTAACAGCTCTATGAAAACAGGAACTAATAGTGTGCAGACATGTGATGGGAAACAACCTGACTGAGTGCTTTGTTGGAAGGACTGTTGCTCCGACTGGAACTATACTTTACTTTAATTCAAAGTGCCTTTTGTGGTAAAGTGCAAACATTGTCATGACGTGCACACCCAAGTGAAACTGATTCATAAATGTATTCTGAAGATTATCTGTCAGTGTTGTTGTCTTTTCTTTCTTTTACCCTTTGGTCTCTTAAGGGCCCTTTTGTTAGTTGCTTTTATGACTGGAACAAATGTATCAGACTCTGTAGTAAAAAGCAAACTTTTCTGCTGTTATTTTATTACCGCAGTACATCTTCAACCCTTCCTCTTTCCACAGCCTAAATAACATTAAATATGACGTAATAACTGTGTAAAATCTGAAATGTCTTTTTCCATTCGATGAATTGTAACCAGTTTCATCAGTGTTTGAACTTGTTTTTCCTCTGAAGGCTGAGAAGTCATTTTTACTGTGGAGAGCGTAATCTCCTGTGTTAATAGCAAATGTAAACTTTCATTATGGCTACTAAAATGTTTTATTCATATTTTTAAAGAATAGATGCTTTAATGTATTTTTATTATAAAAAACAGAAACTTCTGTTAAGTTTCTGGTTGCGAGGGGAAATCCCAGGTGATCAGCAGTTTCTGAAATACCACCCTTAAAATCACTTAGATTACATTATTTATGCTCTGTTCTCAAGATCGATTTGAACTTCTAGCAGGTCATCTTAACTATGTCTACTTGTCTGAATTGCTGCCCTGTGATTGGCTGATTAGATGTCTGTGTTAGAAAACAGTCCAACGGGTAATCTAACAAAACGAGTCTTTACAATTGAAGAGTAACAGCGGTCATACGAACGCGGGTCCTTTCAAAATAAAAGCTGCCCTGAGTCACAAAAGCTACAAGACTGACGAGAGAAAACATGAGCAGAGAATTTAGAAATCTATTTGCACTCCGTACCCCCCCCCCCAAGAAATTGGACAACTTTATGTCACATCAGAAAAAAACACTTCATTAAATGGTCCGTGGGCACATAAAAACAACTCTTAAATGTTCTTTTTCAGCATTAATAAATCACAAAGAAACTATCAGCATGTTAGACATTTGACTGATCATTGTTGGCTTAAAGAAAGAAAGAGGCTGCAAAGTGTCGTACTCTAATAACAATGCTGCCCATGTGTTTGCAAGTTGCCAATACGTTAAATTATTTAAAACCTTTTCTTACAAAGTATTAAAGAACAGTTAGCTTCAGTTTGTAGAAAAATGAAACAATCACACAATAGTGGACATGCACTTTAGTGGTACAAAAATCTTGCATACTGCAACTACATAATCACAAAAGGTAAAAGTTATCAAATCCTTTCAGGGTCACCAAAAAAAAAAAAAAAAAAGGAAACAGTAGATTGTGTCATACAGTAGCGCACTTATTAAAATTCACATGAGCTGCGGGATTATTCCATGACAACAAGCTTTCCAACTTTACACATGCTGCGATGAGCAAAAACCTCACAATACTTTAGTTTTGTCCTCTGAGCTTATTTAGAGCGATACAGTGGTGAGAATTAAAGGTGCAATTTGTAAAGAGTGTTCTGTTTCTCAGCCTGACTCAGGACTGCAGATGGACTTTTCCTCCAGTTTTATTTTGGGGACAGTAGGCCATTCAGGAGCCTCGCATGCCATCTTGCTTTGCATATACCAGTTGTGCATAGAAAAAGAGTGACGGATGACTCAAACCTTTTTACTTGCAAAGTTTGTTAATTTGAATATAAAATTTTTCTGCAGAGGCTGACAAAAACAGTCATGTTCTGTCATTTAATTTTAAAAGATAAAACGGAACAAAATTGCTCTTAAATAAAAAGCAAAGCACACCAACAAAATGTGTTTTTTTAACTGCTCCTTTAAAGTTTCCTGAACGTGTCGCTCTTTTATGAAAGTGCGTGTTAGAGCACCTCACTTCAGAATATTGCTTTTATTCTTTTTTCATAAACATATGACACTGAAAAAAAACAACACTGATGTTGTTTAGCTAACTCACGTCTATTTGTTTCCACTTACTCTGCTGCTTTCCTGTGCTCTGTTTCACATGGAGACACACACGAGCTATCGGCTTTAGAAATCCATATAATAGGTCGGCCGGGCTGCCTAAAATACACAGACAACCAGTGTCCAATCAGGACTTCTCCCTGGCTTTCCCTCTCCACCAATCTCAGCTTTAGACCTTCTAGCTTTGGGACACAGTAACAGCAGTAGTGTTCGTGCAGTACTGATGAGCCTGTTGGCAGGTAAAGACCAACTGAGCCAGGGAAAAAGACTAATGCAGTGTCTAACTGTGCTGGATTGCACGACTGATAATCATGCAATCACCAAAATGCTGATATGTGAAGATTTAACTTATAAATATATATATTTTTGTTTGCACTGGACTTTTTATTGTTATTTATTTTAACAGCAGATCAACAACTGTTTGTGTTTGCTATCACAGATGCTGTTGCAGCATTGATATATTATAAAGCTAGCTAACATCATGTTGTAGGATCCAAGCCTCCAGCTGTCTGTGTCACCTACTGCCATTAACGCGCACAGGACACACTGTAAGGTCAGTTGTAGGCTGAAGCCGAAACCGTCCAGCGCTTTTGTCCAACCCCGTCCACCACTGCATTTATAATTTCATCTCTACAACATAACAATGTAGAATCTGACATAACTTCAGAAACTTTGAAGGATTTCATCACATTGTGCTGACGATTCCACTTAATTTTTAAATGTTTTTAATTAAACATCTTACATATTGCACCTTTAAATCCCTTACAGCAGGAGATGTTTCTCATCCCACTGTACCAGGTCTACGTCTGTATACGTTTCATTTTATAGAGCGTTCCAAGTTTTTCCCAGCAAAGTCACTCTCCTCTGTGTTAGTAAATCTGAGTTCGATAAAATTTTCTAGTTACTCTTTAAACAGAAGTCTAATACTGCTATCTGCCTCCTCTGCGCTGAACAACTATGGTCCCCGCCACAATGTCGTACACAGTCCTGTTGTGCTGGAAGAAGAGGAGGGTGATAAAGACAGGGAAGAGGAAGGCAATGGAGAAGTTCTTGTTCAACGCCCGCACAGTAGAGCTGTGAAAATCAAGAGAGACGAGGCAAAATATGAGCTCAAACAGGGACTTACTGAATCCCACACAGATGCTCTAAAAGAACTGGAAACAACAAATAATATACCTTTTTTTTTTTTTAACTTTTTAATAAATATAAAAATAACTCAACAGGGAAAAAAACCAACATAAAAAGTGTGAAGACTCACGCTGAGAAGGACACGTTGGATGCTGGGACCACAAGAACACAGTTGGGTCGTATAAGGGTGGACGTATCGCACGTCACCACCCGCAAGCCGAGCAGGAACTTTCCTGGCGTAGCTCCACCAGCGCCCCAAATACAGATGATCTGATTGGACGAGAACAACAAACATCACACCGCTTGTCACCGAATGTCGTTCGGTAGGAGAATTACGAAAGACTTTCATTTCCATGTCTTGCAACGTATATTTAGCTGCGCTGTTCTGGGAACTACCCTCGCCCTCAGTGTGCATACATGAAAAGGTGGAGGCTGGAAGAACAGGCCCACAGAACAGAGCAGGCATCAGTGGTGATAGATAATATTGATTAAGTCACAGTTGGTGTCAGATGGGTTGCAAAGCAGCCAGCAGATGCACAAACAAAAATAACAGTATATAGTAACAATTAGTGAATTAATCAAGAGTATAATTCCAGCTTTTTATCAGCCCCATGCACAACAACCACAGTCAGACACCAGTTGAAGGGGAATAGTTAGATAAGCTTGCACTTTTCAGAAAATGTGTCTATTTTAATATAATATGCTAACACAAACCTCTCTGAACCTGAACTAATGCTAGGCTCAAGTTTTTATTGCCCGATATTTTCGCAGTGCAATACTCATGGCCATGAAAATAAATTACTCAAGCTTTTATTTGTTGTATAGCTCAGCGGTCCCCAACCTTTTTTGCGCCACGGACCGGTTTATGCCCGACAATATTTTCACGGACCGGCCTTTAAGGTGTCGCGGATAAATACAACAAAATAAAAGTAGTACCGGTACTGAAAAAAAGAAAATGTATTCATAACACACGTGAAAAGACCAAAGAAAACAGAGTTAACGATAAAAACGATAACAAAATAACACTGAAAACCGATAAAAACCCTGAAAACCATACATCTCACACCTGAGCCTCAACTCTCGCGGCCCGGTACCAAACGACCCCCGAGGCCCGGGGGTTGGGGACCGCTGGTATAACTAATCCCGGCCCAAAACAGTAACAGGACAAGAAATTTGTTTTCAGTATAGCACAAACAAGCTCAGAGGCAGAGAAGGAAACATGCCATATGGTGTGAGTCTGAGCAGAGGTGCATGAATATCCCAGAGCTGGCTCCCACCTGGGAAAACAAGACAATATCGTAATTCTAACAAGAGACGGGATAAGTGACTTAATCGCAGGCAACTATGAATGCAACGTTGCATCACTGTTCTCTGTGGGCGCCGCAAAGAACTCTGACGCTGCCTGTTCTCATTAAACGAGAGAACGTGCTGCTGCTGCTACTGGGTGTAAATGAGAACAGTGCGAAATGTTATTTATACTCTAACAGGTGTTCTGCTTTAATTTGCAGTTGCACAAGGAAAACCTTGTACACTCTAAAATGTTATTAAATGTTATAAAAACAGAAAGCTTAGTTTGGGTGAAGATAAACACACGCTAGCATGCAAATTTTCAATATTAATATACTTCTGCACATCACCTAACTGAGCATTTATCAAGGCGATGAGAAATGCGACTCACCTCGTAGACACACACCAGTACCCTGTAGACCAGAGCAACAGCCATCATCTTCTGCAGGTCCTCCAGGGACGTGTTCTCATCTATCTCCTCCACAATGAAGTGGGTGATAAATTTGGCAATGTCCCTTTAAAGAAGAGAGACAGTTTGTCTGTGCAAAGCGGCATAACTTGGAATTCAAGCAGATTGAGAGGCCTCATTTAAAGTTGAGTCTTTGCCCGTTTATCCTGGTGTTTTTTACTCACTTCATACCACTCAGATACATGATCCATAACACGATGGTGGCTTTCACACAAAACAGGATGAAGAAGTCCACAGTCTCTGCGAGGAACCTCTGGAGAGGAGAGGGGATGGTGTACTCTTGTCCTGCATGGCAGATGAAAAGACAACAAAACAGCCATTTTCATTACCGTGGTGCAACTCAAAGCTTCATAAACTCATAATCATTCACATATAATCAGTGAACAGACACTGCTGACAGTCACAAGAGAAAACAGAGGACGAGGAAAAACCTTGAAAGACTCTTAAGCATATAAGCTCGTTTCCTCTAGGTCATTTACTTAAGCCTGGTCAGACTCATGACCTAGCTTTAACACAGAGCTGGGTCTTACATTCAATTGTTATTAATCAGATTACAACAAATAAGCAACAATAATCAGCCCGGATGATTATCCTGCTTTAAAGATTACATTTTGATTACTTCCATAAATTCTTATTAAACTTTTACTAATCATAATGCTTTCAATTCATAAACAGTAATATATATTTAGTATGTGCACCTCTTGTGCAGTTTTTATGAGGGTAATTTAAAAACGTTTAAAGAGAAACTTACATTTGTGAGTTGTTTAAATATGTTTAATACTGAAGTAATGTAAAAGTATTCATGTAGACTGGGCAGCATGTGTTGTAATTAGCACTTAGTAACTCGCGCTGCCAAACCTGAGCCCTACCTGCCTGAGGCGGGTTCCCGTTCTGCTGCTGACCAGGACGAGCATCGGCACCCGGGAGCGGGTTGGTGGCTGAGCCCAGCTCGGTCCCGGCAGCCAGGTGAGGAAAGGAAGCTGCGGGGGATGTGACAGGATAGTAGCTGTACCAGCTCCTTGTGTCAAATGCTTGCTGCCCACTGACGGGTGTACCCGGCGGCGTCTGAGCGCTTATCCCCGGCGGAGGGAAGGGGAAAGCTGACAGAGCCACCCAGCTCTGCCAGCTGGCGTACCCCCAGTAATACTGGCACATCCACTGCTGCAAGTTTGCGCAGTATTCCGCTGTAGCGGTGCTCCGAGGCTGCTGTGCGTCACTTTCAGGACCGCTGCTGCTTTTTTCGTCCGTCATAGCCGCAAATATACCTCAGCGTCCTCACAGGCTTGCCTGAATTTGGCAGGAAAACCGTTTAAAACGCGTTTAGCCCTCAGGTAATCCTCCCGGTGCCCCGTTCATTAGCTCCCGGCTGGTGCAAGGAAGCGCCGGCTAAATGTGTTTGTAAATACGGGGACTTCCGGGACCACTCACTGCTATACGCCGCGCCCTGAGTCTGTGTCGTTTTATAATATTTATGAAGCTCAAATTAAAGACTTGTGTGTCTTTAAAACAATACTATCTACTCTATCGGTGCTTCATTTATCATAAATAAACACCATGTAATCACAATGGCAAGAAACTCTATCCCCCTGCTGTCATTAATGGTATGAGCCATTTAAAGGATCATTCTGGGGTTTTTTTGTTTGTTGTTATTTTATTCAGGTTCCTGTGGATACTTGTCATACTTTGAAAAGTACATTTCTTCCACCTTTGGCAGCCATAGCAAACATTTACTGCTTTTGATTTTTAAAATTATGCCCTTTATTGAGCTGTTAATTTTCCACAAGTTCACAGCACAAGTTTTAAATGTTTACCGCTAGTTTCCAGTTGTAGTGTGATTTGTGTTAGTGTGCTGTGTCTACTTGCTTCCACTACTGGCATCTCTTCCTCATATCTTAGCTCCTTTGGAGAAGGGCAGGAAATTCACAGCATCCGTCTAGAGCATGGGTCTGCAACCTTCACAGTGTTTGTTACAATACTCTGTTACATCCTTCATGGAAACTGTATTCCCTGATGGCTATGGCCTCTTTCAGCAGGATAATCTTCCCTGCCACAAAGCAAAAGTGGTTCAGGAATAGTTTGAGGAACACAGCAACAAGTTTGAAGTGTTCACATTGCCTCCAAAGCCCCCAGATATTAATCCAAGTGAGCATCTGTAGGATATGTCAGACACACAAGGCCACCTTGCAACTTAAAGGACTTCATGAAATGTTAACAACCTGGTGCGAAACACCACAGCGCACCTTCAGGGCTCGAGTGGAGTCCACGCCTTGATGAGTCGGGCTGTTTTGGCAGCAAAAGAGGGGCCAATGCAATATTAGACACATAGTCATAATGTTATACTTGATGTCTACAGTATATGTATAGCACGTGCAACATTACTCTAAGACTGCACCACAAGAGAGCAGCAGAGGTCTGTTTATGCACATTCAACAATACCAAATACAAACAACAGCATTACCTACTCTGTATTTGTACACTTTTATCAACAGTGACTGTATGATGTCTATTACAGTTAGGCTTATTGCAGTTTTTATGTTGTCTGCTTTAATTCAGGTGCATTTTCTGGGCTTTTCAAAATAAAATGATTCCTCACAGAACTTTTTTGACCATGTACATTCCCACCTCCTACCACATTAAGAGCTCACAAACATCTTAACTGAGTGATTTCTGCAAAGTGGTCTGCCGCTGAGGTCACTGGGGTCAAAAAGTCTAAAACTGGCTAGTCAGCTGATGGAAAGCTGTGCTGCTTTCGCTCTCACAAACTCTTTCGCTCTCTTTCTTTTTAACCCCACTTTACAGATGTTGCTCACGCCTCTCTCCCCTCCTAAATGTTTAACTTACTCACTCACATCAGTCTCTTTTTTTGTGTGTCTTCGCTGGCTATCGTTTTACTCCCCCTCCTCTCTGATTACCGGGGAAGTGAGGGCATTGTATTTGCTGACTGGGCTGGCCCGACTCTTTGGGTTAGGTGTTAGGTCTGCCAGATCCACATGATTGTGCCGGGCCTAGTGAATGGAGCCAGTGAGGCGAATGCCAATCCGCCCCCAATGAGTGTTATCCCAGTCGACAGAAACCATACGATGACTGTGCCCAAAAGTAATCAGGTCCAAATAAAAGCAGTGTCTGGCAAACACTGACCCCCATAGAAACCCAGCAACCTGGTGGGATTACTGCTGTGGAGGTGTGTCTGAGCGAGTGTGTGTGCTAGAAAAGAAATGAATGAGCAAGAGAGGTTTGGTGATCTGGTTAGTGGTGGGCTATGTATCACCCAGATAAGGAAGAATCTGTAATTTTATTGTGTAAAATTTATTTATAAGTTTCCATTTGTGGATGTGCTATAATGTCGTCCACGACATCTGAGGACTGTCAAAACTTAAGAAACATGAAGAGTAACTAAAATTATTACACAGCCTGTTTTTTTAAAAAAAATCTTCAAAGAAACCACAAATAAAAGTTTCATTGGATTGTGTGTTTCTGCTACTGCAATCATATTGGCAATAACACCAAATATTACGGTACTGTGCAAACGTTTTGAGTCATCACTTATTCTGGGGTTTTTTGCTTGGAAAATAGGACTTCAGTGCAGTGAGTTACTGTGTACTATGTGAGCACACATGGAAATATGGTACATAAGGCAGAAACAGAGTTTGTAGGATTCTAACGAGCTTAAAAGTCGATATTTGGTGTGACCACCTTTATTCTTCAACACAGCCTGAACTCTCTTCGACAAGCTTTCTTGTAATTTCTCTAAGTAGTCTTCAGGAATAGTTTTCCAGGCTTCTTGAAGGACATTTAACTGTCTTCTTTGGATGTTGATCTCTGTCAATATGATCCCCCACTTCAATCATGTTGAAGTCCAGGCTCTGGGGAGGCCAATCCACAACCGATAACGTTACATATTGTGATTTTCTGTCTAGGTATGCTTACTTACTGCATTGGCATTTTGTTTGAAGCTATTGCCAATCAGAGTCTGAGTGCATGGATCAAAGTCTGATGGTATTTTCTGTGTTGATAATTCCATCAATTTTAAGAAGATGCCACACACCACTGACTGAAAAGTAGCTGGAAGCCATGACACAGCCTCCACCATGTTTTGCAGATAGCTGCTGACACTGTTGAACCTCTCTCCAAACCTCCTCTACGCATACTGATTTTCAGTCCAGTTCTTGATTCGGTATTTCTAGCTCTAGTTCTTCTTTGCTTTGTGATTTCTATTTCTTGGGTTTTGTTCCTGGGCCCCTCACATTTAGCGTAGGTTTAGTTCTGTCTTCATGTTTATTTTCTTGTTCTCCAGTCGTGTCTCATGTCGCAGTTTGTTACTCCTGTCCCTGTGCTCCTTATTCCCTCTGTTCAGTGTCAAGGTCATGCCTCTGTGCATGTCGTGTATTTCCTGTTTTATTTTGATAGTCCCTGTCCTGTGTGGTGTGTGTCTGGTTTAGCTTCTCTTTGTCTTGTTAGGTCTGATGTGTCCCAGCTGCGTTGCCACCTGTTCCCCATCCTCTTGTTGTCCTGCCTCTGTATTTAAATCTGTGTTTCTCTCTGTCAGTTGTCATGCCGTACCCTCGGTCTGCTGTGTTTCCTCCCTCTGTGTTCCAAGTAATTATAGTTCCCAGTTCCTGGTTTATTTTCTCATGCTTTAGTTTGAGTTTTTGGTTTCTAGTTTTGTTTTGTACTGTTTTTCACCAATAAAACTGCCGCTTTCAGTTACAATTCCCATATTTGAGTCCTGCATCCTGCCTGCCACACAGCACACAATGACACTGTCTGAATAAAAAAAATTAAAAGACCTTCACAAAGCCTGGAGAAGTTTTGTTCAACAAGAGTTCGACTCCTTGTAAAGAATTTATAAAGAAACGAAGAGTGGCTCAAGACTTTTTCACGGTACTGCCTATAATGCTCATCCTGCTGGGATGTCACCATTGCTCGGATTTGGAGAGAATTAGATCACAGTGAGCGCCCATTTTAAAACCGCTGAATCTGCCTGTGCCCTTATTAGACCCCTATATTGTCAAGGTGAGATAAGGGAGGCACTTGGACTCCTCGAGTGTGTGTGAAGACACATGTTCTCCTTGTAAAGTCAACTTTGCTGTAGAGGAACACTAATGGCACTTAGAGCAGCCTCTCTCCTTTTATCTGAGGCAGCTTCTTAATTGGGTATTTCACAAGGAAAATATTTCTTCCTTTTGCACTCTGATTGTTTAGCTTTTGCTGGTGCGCACACTCACTGCCCTACATGGAAGACAGGCCCCTTCATTTTGATCATTCCTTTTGTTGTCTGAGCCACTGAAAGTATCTGTGCGCAACACAGAGTGTTCATAGCTGAGAGAGCTTGCTGTGTCTATAAAGGATATGGACAGTTCTTCCAGACACACTTAAAGGGAACAAGGTCACCAAATAACCTTAACTGCTCTGAAGTGCGCGATATGAGCTGAATTCTTTGTGTATTTGGTCTTCAGTGGTCAAAGATTCAGTCTCATTTCTGACATATTTGAGTTCTTAAATATAAACATGTTTCTTCTCTTTGAGTGGCTTTGATGGATGAAAACCGGCACCCGCCCCGGCGTCTCTCTGTGGGATATTTACAATCCACAAAGGAGGATAGCAGATAAGAACTTGGCATAGTTCTAATTAAATTTAACACTGATAACACTCTGACATACTCAGAATACAGCATCACCAGGCAATTACAGGGTTTAGCTTAGCAAAAACAGCTGGTCTTTATCAATTAGGAAGAGTTAAACACAGAACACTGAAAGCATCAGAGAATCAGCACTGAACCGTAAACGTGTGCGCTTTAGTCAGTAAAACTCAGCTGTTAATAAACTTATCAATATGGCAATTCTATCATTGAAATACAGGAGAATTTGACTGATAATTGATTTCTACACTAATCATCCACAGCATTAAAAGCACCTGTCTGCTATTTTTGGCCTCTTGTGTTGCTAAAATCATAGATTGTGGTTTTTGGGTTCAGTGGATTGCAGGGCATCACACTTCACAGATTGGGTTTGTTCCAGGGAATCCACCACGTGTTTCCTCATATTCAGATTAACAGTTTGCAGACAGGGTCAGTGCCTCGGGCTCTTTGTTGTGTTCTAGAGCAGTTTTTTGATGCGAGGGAACATGTGAGGATATTTTATTGAGGGAGGCCACTGTCATCATGGAGCACTGTTGCAAAATGGGTAAACAGAAGACTCATTTTGTATTTAGGTACAAAACCAAAGTCTATAAGGTGCAAAGAATCCACAAAGAAAGCAATTAGAATCCAAGAGATGAACTGGGAAACATATGGAGCAGTCAGCAGAATCTAAAAACAGACAAGGAGCACACCAAGCAGGATAACAGGAAGGATTAAGAGACACTGACAAAGGGAAGATTAAGGTTATAGATACACACAAGGCAG